CTCGATGCGTCTCACAGCCCGCCTTCCTAGGCCAGCGCCTGGACCGACCAAAGAACATGGGTCTGATTGCTTGGTGGCATTCTGCTGATAGCCTCTCTGCGCTAAGGGGGTGTCGAGGGAAGTGCTGGATGTCTGTGCCTCCTTACGAAATTGCCAAACTCCTGCGCCCCATTCTCGAGCATCTCCTTCATCTTCAATAAAAAGCGTTTCCGCGTCATCAGCGTATTTTGTTAGCGAGACATCCGCCGCTGCATCTACATGAGCGCGTCTGCCTGCTCGTCGCGCTCTCTCTGAGCCCCCTGCCATCATTCGATGGGCGGCCAGAATGCGCGGCAGGAGCTACGCGCAGCAAAAGGCCCCCCCCCATCAAGGCGCCAGAGCCTGTCTTGATCTCAGCGTGCCCGTTGGACAAGGGAAGGCGCACCGTGGCCTCTCGATAGCGTCGCTGAGCAATCGCTCGATCTCGTAGCAAAAAAGCTGCTGAGCTGCATCGTCGAGGGCGCCCCGCGACGAAGCTCCAAAGGCATTGGCCATGCCCTTGCCTTGAATCAGACTCGAGTAGCCCAGCTCACGTACACGATGCATGCTGCACTGCTGAACTAGCATTGCTCGTTCCTTTTCGGCGACCACGGGCGAACCCGCGCTCGCAAGGTGGTAAACGCGGGGCTCCGCCCCGACGAATAGCTGCTGCAGAGAATCCCTTCCCCAATACGTCTGGCAGATGTGCCGCCCTCGTCCCCGTCGCCCCGTCCACCGCCTTCTTTTGTAAAGTTACTCCCTGATTGCGGTGCCAGGCAACTGGCGTTCGCATCGAGGCTCGAATCCTGGCAAATCCGCGCGGCGTAGCCTGCTGGAAAAAAAAACCGGCATGTCCCGGCCTGGATTCTGAGCGACCCATCCGGCCCCTGCGAATTGAAAAGCCAGTCGGTCCCTTGGTCGAAGCAACATCAACCAAATTTCCAGCGGCACATAATCAAATGGACATGCTTTCCTTTTTGGGACCCGTGCCAAATATTCGATAATACCTTTGAGCTCCTCCTCCGCCTCCTCCAAATAATCGGCCCGCCTACCTGGCCAGGTAACAGCCGTCTGAAGCTTGAGCGCGCGGTAATCTTGAAAATCAGCTTTTCTGGATATCATACCTCCCTCCCCCCCAGGGAGCTTCCATACCTCAATCCACTCCTCCTCCGTAAGAGCAGAGCCTTGCAAAAGCGAGTAGTTCCTTTTCTTGATGCCCCAAGAAGAGCCTGACGCCAATCTAGAGTACGGGTGTGCTTCCGCAAATCGGCTGTCTCGGCAAGCATCGTGCAATAGTTATAAATGCATGCGCTGTTTGTTCACCCACTGCTTCCTTCGCTCCTTATGTGCTGCCGCCGAGGCCTCCTTAAGCTGCTGAACTACCTCTTCCTCCTCTTCCTCGGTGGTGAACGATAACTGGCGGCGAAGCTCTCGTCTGCAACGGAGAAGATCCTGGTGTCTCTGACGACGCGCAGCCAGCGACCTCGAGTCGGATTGCTCCGCGCTGAAGAACTCGAGGCCGCGTCGATTCAATATCACATTCACTACCTCAAAGAAGCTGTCGGGAGTAGGCTGAGCCAGAAGGTTCACGAGCTCGCATTCTCTGTCAGCGAATTCTTCTTCAACTGCAGCAATCAGCTCTTGACGGCGAGGCCCTCGCGTACAAGCTTCCATGAGAGAAGAGAGACCCCATCTGGACCTGCCAACGTTCCTCCCCCCAGGTAAGAAAGATATCTTCCATGCTGCATGTATGGGTACATGATCTCGTGGACTGCGCGTGCGTATCTGCTGCGCTTCTCGGCCTAGCTTGCGGAGCACACCCGCCTTGTGCAAGTGGTCCACGAAGGCGCAAGGAACAAACAACATATCAAGTTTTTTTCTGCTCCCCCTGAGGCCAAGTCCAGGTCTGGGTGAAGGGATGCCCACCGTCGACGAAAACGACATCGAACTCATCGAATACCTTCCGAAGCGTTCTCCCAGAACCAGCCTGGTAGAGTTCCCTCGAGGCGACCGGTTCACGAAGAACACTGGTACCAGAAAAACCGCCCGTCTCATCCTCAATCCCCATCCCTTCATTCAAATCCACTGCTAAGATAGGCGTAGTCCTACCACGTGCCCTCCGCAGCGTGTCGCTAGACCACTCTGCCAGCAACTCCACCGTCTTGAAGTAGTTCGGCCTGGCTGCTAGCATTCTCGGCTTCGGAGGGAAATAGGCGGCGATGGGTGGGATATCTAGACCGATGAGCTTGAGACGAAGTCCCAGTCCCCGTCCAAGTAGAGACCGAGGTGGCAGAAGCGGATGGCCAACGATGTTGGTTTCTTTGAGCATAGGTCCCAGAAGGATAGCGCACCCAACAGCCTTGTTTGTAAACGGTCCTGGGAGCCATCCCGCCTGGATAAGTACAGATTTTCTAATTCTCTTCCTCGTAACCTGGCCATCCGCTGGAGCCCTCAGCTGCGTTCCTATGAACATTGACACGTCGAAACCCCTGAAATTGATCTCTAACTCCTCGATGCGGTCGGCCCGATTCGCGCTCATGGGGTTGAAGGCCGAGACCCGCAGCCATCCCGATCTGGTGGCGGCCCCCGACATCGACCCTCAATTCGGGATAACATAGTGAACACATTGCATGTGTGACGACCTGACGCCACCGAGCGACCGACGAAAGCTTGTGCCGACATGTCGCTGGAGGAGGAGGAGGAGGAGGCGGAGGAGCAGGACGGAGGATGGGATGGGGGGGCGAGGAGGAGGAGGAGGAGGAGGAGGAGGAGGAGGAGGAGGAGGAGGAGGAGGAGGAGGAGGAGGAGGAGGAGGAGGCGGAGGAAGAGGAGGAGGAGGAGGAGGAGGAGGCCAGGGGAGGAGGATACGGGAGGAGGAGGCCAAGGGAGGAGGATAGGGGGGGAGGGGAGGATGATGGGGGAGGAAGAGGAAAATGAGGAGGAGGAAAGCGAGGCTGACGGAGGAGGAGGGGGCAGGGAGGGAGGGAGGAAGGGAGGGCGGGAGGGGAAGGAAGGGAGGGGGAGAGGACAAGCTAGGTGCTCTCGCGTCATATCGGACGTCCTATCCCTCTCTCCCATCCCTTACCATGGCGCAGATCTCATCCCTATTAGCACAATCGAATGTCGCAGCATGGCGTAGCATTACATGGTATATCATGGTGTTGAAGACTAACGCGTAGCATGACATAGCATAGCGTGGTGACGCCCCAAAATGAAGGGGGGGGGGTTCTGCGGCCAAACGAATCAAACAATCGACACCGAATGTATAATCACTTCCGATGGTTTCTTCGGGAGGCCATTTTTTAGATTTTGGGGCCTATTTGAACCGAAAGCCATGCCGTGGCATGGCAATGGAAATAATGACGCCAGCGCTGCAGCGGGAGCACGATTCGGCACGAGCGGAAGCGCGGAAACGAGGCCAGCGCTGCAGCGGGAGCACGATTCGGAACGAGCGGTAGCCCGAAAATGAGGCCAGCGCTTCAGCGAGAGCAGCATTTTCGAACAACAACAAGCACAGAAGCGCGGAAATGAGGACGCGTAGCCTGACATAGCATGGCGTGGCGACGCCCCAAAATGAGGGGGGGGGCTTCCGCGGCGCAGAAAATCAACGAATCGGCACCGAATGTATAATCACTTCCGATGGTTTCTTCGGGGGGGCGTTTTCTAGATTTGCGGGCCATTTGAGAGTACCGAAAGCCATGCCGTGGCATGGCGCTGGAAATAATGACGCCAACGCTGCAGCGGGAGCACGATTCGGAACGAGTGGGAGCGCGGAAATGAGGCCAGCGGTTCTTACAGGATGTCTCACGCGAGGGCGCCAGTTTTGGAAACGAACACGACCAGGGGGCTCTCTGAGGGCCTCTTTGGGGAGGCTCGGGGGGCCGGCTTTCTTAGAGGATGTCCCAAGCGAGGGCGCCGATTTGGAACTCGTCGCCCGATGTCCCCGAAACGCCGAAACGGAAGAAAGGGGCCTCTGAGGGCCTACTTAGGGAAGCTCGGGGAGCCAGCCGGTCTTCTGATAACGTCCCACGCGAGGGCGCCTGTTTGGAACTCGTCGCCGGATTTCCCCGAAACAGAACAGGGGGGGCGGTTGGCGGGCCCATTCCCTCACGCTGGGGGTCAGGATGACTTGAGTTCTCATGACAAGCTTCCTCAAACGAGTAGCCAATCCTCTCTCTCCCTCACCTCCTCCCCTGGCCCCTTCCCTGGTCATAGCAAGCGCGCGCGTATTCCCGCATGCCCGCGAGCGTACTGAGCACAGCTGGGTTTGCCTGTGCGCCCACTCTTGGGCGGTCGGCTTGCTAAAGTAAGCATAGAATTTGTGCGTAAAGCGTGCGGTGCTGAAGATTGATCGTGAAGCAGCGAAAAACCTACGTGGCTTGGGGCGTTTAGAAGAACAAGCAACGACGCAAACATAAACTCTCGGAAGTCCGCGCGGATGGTCGGCGCTTCGTGCGCCGGGGGGAACCGGTGCCGACCCAAGAAATCCGCGCGGACATCTGACTGCGTATGCTTATGCCGTTTATATGTCTTCCAACTTCAGGAAACCCATCCCAGAGAGCCAGCAGGCAAGCGTAGAAGAACAGAGGCGATACTGTCAGAGGCGATCCCCCGCTCTTCCCTGCTCCTCCCCCTTCACCCACCCCTCCGCGAGGGCCGCGCCACGCAATATTTCAGGCGCAGGGGCGCAGCAGCCGCTGGGCCAGCCTGGGCTAGTAGAAGAACAGAGGCGATACTGTCAGAGGCGATCCCCCGCTCTTCCCTGCTCCTCCCCCTTCACCCACCCCTCCGCGAGGGCCGCGCCGCGCAATATAACAGGCGCAGGAGCGCAGCAGCCGCTTGGCCAGCCTGGGCCAGCCGCTAGGCCACTGACGAAGCGCTGGACCACCCCAGGCAGGGGTGGTTTCTAAAACCATCGGAGCAGCTGCAAACTTGCTGCCTCGGTTCTCTGCCCGAGGGCCGGGCGGTGACGTCGGCGCGGCTCAGAGGCTGAGGCGCAGCACGGCCGTCCCCTGCTGGGGCGCCGCGCGGACCCGACCGGGGTCGCCGCCGAGCTCGAGCTCGGCAACGGCCGGCGGCGCAAGGCGGTGCTCCGCCGCGGGCGCGCCGAAGCAGCCGGCGCCGGCGGGGCGGGCCTCGCCGCGGCGGCCGCCGAAGAGCCCGGCGGGGCCGGCCCGGGGCGCCGTCGCGGCGCCGGGGCGGGGCGCGCCACCGAGGCCGAAGGCGCAGGCGGCCGCTGGCGCCGCGCGCGCAGAGTGGCGGGGCACGGGGCGTCCCCAGGCCGCGGTGCCGCCCGCTGCCGGCCTCGGGCCAGGGGCGCAGGCGCACACGTTCGGATCCTGCGCCGGGCCAGTCGAGGGCTTAGGGCCGCCGCGGGGGGCGGTGGAGCTCTCGGGGTCGACGCTGTGGCGGACGTAGGCCTGGCGGGCCGGGTCCGGGTGCAGTCGAGTTCGATCGGAGAGGACACGCGAGAGGATGCAAGACCCTTCCGAGGGCCACACTGCCATAGCAGTGTAGGAACGAGGCAGGACAGAGGAGAGGAGGAGACGAAGGTTCCTCCGGTGTTCTCCTTCCTCCTCCTCTCCTCCTCATCTCATCGCGTTCCTCCCCTTCCTCGCTAAACGCAGGACACAAGGGTTCCCTTGATTTGGCAGGGTCGACGTACTGGTCAAACTCGACTGCATCGGATCGCGTGGTCGGATCTGACTGGATGCGGGTCGGACAGCCAACGGATCATCCTGAATCGGGTCGAAACCGGATCGCCGCGCCTCTGGCTGGCCCTAGCCGATGCCGAGGAATCGAACCAAATCGGATCTAATCGGAATCGCGGCCCTGGTCGGCGAATGGGACCGCATCGAATCGGATCGTAGGCGGCCTTGCCTGGGCCTGGGGGTTCTTGATGCGGCGGGAGGAGGACTTGCGCAATTTGGCGAGGCTTCTCTCAATGCCCTGCGTCTCGGACAGCGACACTACGAACCGCGAGCTGCCCGAGCCCGTTGCAGCACCGTGGAGTGCCCCTGCGAATCTAAACCCGATCACTTTCTGCATGAAATTGATGAACATGTAGCCCTTGTTGGTATTCGTCTTGAAGCAACGGGGCACGTACAGAAAGTCATAAGACTCACCATACCCCAAGTCGTTGAGCCAGTCCATTATCTGGTCACGGTTGAGACTCTTTGGCAGGTTACCTACGATCAGGGTGAGTTCTGTCACATCAGCCATGGGTATGAACTGGTACACAAGGCTCTGCTCAAGCACTTCGATCTTAAAACGCAAAGTGCTCCCCTGCGCCCAGATCCAGGTAAATCTCAAAAGGCTGCGGACGGGACAGGTGATGGAGGAGGGACGGATGAGAGCCGCTCTTGCGACACGTCATTAAGTCGATCCGCGCCACGCGCAGACGTTTGCAGGCACCGCCGGATCGACGGAGCCGCGGACGGCCGCGAGAACGAGTGAGGGAGGCGACCGTTCTGCTGGTGGCGGCGAGCGCACAGGAGGCCGCGGCGGCCACCTCCACCGTTCCACGAGGAGCTCTGGGTGCCTGGACCCCACCCCTCGCAGTGATTTCACGCGGCTCCACCCCTTCGCACAGGTGTCGCAGCGCGGCCTCGCTTCTCTTGCGCTCCAGGGTCCCGCGGCGGGGCCCACCGATGCCCCCCGGACTCCAAAGACCCGGGCGTCCTGACGACTCCGGATCGCCGAGGAGGTCTGCAACTCTCTCTGGTAACTCAGATGAGCCTCCCATGTCATCTTGCTTGCTCATGCGGGTCGACGGTCGCCGACGCTAATCGAAGCTAGCAGGCGCTACATCGACGCCAGTTCGGCGCTCTTCTCGTCGATTACCATACGCTAGCGCACGCTAATGACCTCTACGGGCGGAGTTGCGATGACATACGAGGCTCCCACGATCTGCTACCGAATGCAACTATTCCTGTTTGGTCGAGGCGGCCTCCCGACCGCAACTCGCCTCACGGAAGGTCAGTCCGGGACACCTGCACCGCCGCTCCGAGACTCACGCTGGGCTCCTGTCGCCCGAAGGCGTCCCGACAATCTGTGGGCTCGTGGAGCAGATCGGGCTCCACATCGAATCGCATCGCCGATGCATTGGCGATGCGGGGCGATCCGCCGACCCCTTCTGCTCGGACCCCGTCTGGGAGGCCGGGATCCAGCAGGGTCCGCCTTTCAGTCGACCGCTGCGCTCCGTCTCCTCTCTTGGGGCCCAGGGCAGCTCCAGCGCGACGTCCAGGCCGAGATCCAGCTTCAGACCGCTCCCAAGATACCTTTGGAACAGACCTCTGCTCCTTGCTGGCTCTCCAAGATCGGCTCTCTGTGCTCACACGAACGCCTCTTCTTCGTCCGAACTCGCCGACACGTCGGGGGCTCGTAAAGTATGACGGCACGCTTTGCGTCAAACGTTCTCGTCTGGCTGGGGGGTCGCTCGGCTAGCGTCTTTTGTATGAGCATTTATGACTCGTCTGCGAAATCCGCCATCTTTCTCGATCTCCCCCCTATCACGTTGAGGCGCGGTAGCATGCCAAGTGCTGGCTGGTAGAGGGCCAGCGAACCTCTAAGAAGGCTCCCCCCAAGCCCCCCCCCTCTTCTACTTGTAGACTTCAGTCGGGCATCTCCCCCCTACAGGGGGATTTTGGGCGAAAAACAAAACATACTCAGACAATACTCCCCGAAGCCCCCGAAATACCCAACAAATCGTCTCCAGACAACTTTTTATTCATTTTTTGATATCCCTCCTGTAGAGGGACAAGCCCGACTTACTTGTAGACGGGCGTGTGCACCCCACCCTCCCGAGGCCACGGTCTTAAAACACATCGACGGACCTGCGCTCCGGAAGCCACGGGTCCCTGTGAAAGCCAAGGAGGGCCAACGATCTCAAGCGTCGAATACGGCCGAAGAGGGCAACCAAGGCCGCCAACCTGTTCCAACATGTCTTGGAGACGGCCGGCGATGGCCAAGACGGCCTGAGATGGTCCAGGATGCGTCCAAGCGGGCCACAACAAAAACTCCCAGCAAGGCCCTGCGAGGCCCAAACCACAATCATGCTCCCGTGTGTTCTGCAGTTCTAACCCAAATGTTCGCACTCTCGGCTCCCGTCGTCTCGAGACGCCTCAAACAACCCCCAAAGTGCCCCCCAGAAGGCCCGCCCACCCCCTAACCGGGCCTTAAGACGGCCCGGGAGGAACCCACGATGGTCCAAGAGGCCTCCAAGATGGCCGAAGACGACCTCTGGGAAGACCCAAGGCGGCCTCAGAAGGCCCGTCGACGACCCAAGACTCGCGGGCCCGCGAGCAAGGCGGGCTGGACGAAAGGGGGGCGTGGCCAAGAAGGGATTGGCCCAGCAGCTCACATTGATGATTTTCCGAGCGCCCCCTGGCGCCTATAAAGCGGCCATGCATCGAAGACTGGCCCTTCGGCGGGGCGACCGAAATCAGCTGTGCGCAGTAGGTTTCGCAACCCCCCCTTTCCTTCCCCAGCTCTCCGTCCGACCCGAGCAAGGCTGGCAGTCCTCCTCCCCCCCTCTGTCGTGGTCTCTGCAGTCGTCGACGACGACGACAACGACAACGACGACGATGACGACGAAGACGAGGACGAAGACGAGGAGGACGAGGACGACGACAAGGACGACGACGAGGACGAGGACGACGGATGGTGGACGGCAGACGGCTGCGACGACGACGACGCACTGCGGATGCCTATGTGTGTGTGTGTGTGTGTGTGCTGCGCAGGCCCGCTGTAGTCGACGACGGCGGCGACGACGACGCGGCGACGAAGACGACGAAGAAGACGAGGACGACGACGACAACGACGACCAACGACGACGACGGCGGCGACGACGACGACGCGACGACGACGCACTGCGGATGCCATATGGGGGGTGGGGGGGTAGGGGGGGTGCTTCGCAGGCCCGTTGTACTCGACGACGACGACGAAGCCGACAACGACGACGACGACAAGGATGACGAAGAAGAAGACGGCGACGACGACGACGCCTGAGAGGGGGGAAGACTTCGCCTCGGATGTGTACGACCCCTATAACAACTTCTATACGAAAGGCGATCGTTTTGAGGCTGTCATGCAGGGGGTACACGATCCCCTCGGCGGCGCCAGCGACGACCCCCTGGCGCGCGTGATTAAGACAAATGTTTCGTGCCCCAAGGGGTCTATTCATCAGCCCCGGGGGGGGGGTCATTTGTGAATCACAAACGGACATTGCTCACCAATTTACACGCCGCTAGGTCCGCACTTAAATTCAGACGCATCACGGATTGCATGAACCACCGCCATCTCGTCCAGACCGACCAGCACACAACAAACCCAGCGAAGCAAGCTCCACGACCTCTGGCTGCCGCGCCATCCGCGACTGACATGGATTAATCAGCTGACCGTGTGGCCCACGTAGCTCTGGCTTGCCCCCTGACAGGCACTACCTCAACACAACCTTGCTGAGCTTCGTCCACCAAGGGTTCTCGTGTGCCTGACCTGAGGGGGGGGCTGCCCCCCTCTGTCGACAAGTCTCAGACCGGAGCGAGCGACCATGCAGAGCAAAAACAAAAACAACGATTAAATTGCCATTCCCACAACACTCACCCCCTCCGCATCCTACCCTTATTGAATCGCTTCGCTCATTCCGCCGGCCCGTGATATGGCATCGCTGGTTTTTGTCTGTGTGTTCGTTGCCCATGCTGCGCTCTTGGGGGCGGGTGTCGTTCGGACGCGTTGCGTGGGGAGTTTTGATGGTGAAGCAGTTCCCTGGGGGTCGTCTCTCGATGGGGCGAAATAGAGTCGTCGTCAAGATGCTTCTTTGGGGGGCCTCTTGGGGTCTGTTGAGAGGCCGTTCGGGGGCGCCTGGGAGACATGTTTGAAGCCTTCTGGGGCTTCTTTTGGGCCTCCTGGGAGTCTCCTGGGGCCTCTTGGCGACATCTTGGGGCCTCTTGGAGGCCTCTTGGGGCCTCTTTGGGACCTCCTGGGCGCCTTCTGGGACGGAGGGCTCCATTTTTGAGTTCTCGGTATCCCTCCTGAGTCCCTCTTGGGCCCGTCTTGGGGCCTCTTGGTCCGTCTTGGGCGGCACTTGGGCCGTCTTGAGGGCTCTCTTGGGTCGTTTCGGCGCCGTCTTGGGAGCTTCGTGGGCCGTCTTGGAGCGGTCTTGGGGGCCTCTTGGGCCGTCTTGGAGCGTCCGGAAGCCGAAAAAGCCAGAACACAAAAAACATCGAAAAAACCAATGAAAATCAACGATTTTGGCCTCTTGGGGCTCTCTTCGGAGGCCTCTTGGAAGGCTCTTGGGGCGTCTTGGAGGCCTCTTGGGCTGTCTTGGGGGCCTTTTGGGCCGTCTTGGGGTCATCTTCGGCGTCTTCGAGCGCTCTTTGGGCGTCTCGGGGGCCTCTTGGGCAGTCTTGGGGGCCTCTTGGGGCACTCTGAGCGCGCTCTGGGGAGCCTGAGAGGCCGCACCCAGAAGGAAAACCATCTCTGAGTAGACTTGGTCGGGCGGCGGCAGGGCGTTGGTCGGGGTACTTTTCGCCGGGGGACCCCCAGGGGCCGCCCCGCGCGCGCGAACTAGAAATACTGTTAATACTGTTAACCAGTTACCGGAGATCTTAGCACGCCCTGGCCCGTTGGGCCGGCCACAACACTCACCCCCTCCGCATCCTACCCTTCTTTGCAGCATATGGCTCAACGACAGGTCACATGCGCACCCCACCTTGAGCAACGCAACTCGCTATGAACGAGCCCGCCATGGAGCCGGCGGTTGAACTCAACTGGGGCCGACAGCTTGGCGCCGGAATTGAGCCATGTATCGCGACGATCGCCTGCCAAATCCTCAACTTACTACCTAAGATAAAATTCGCAAGGGGCTCCTACATCAGGACCGCGGAGGGCTAGAAAGACTTGACTTCGAAAAATCCAGAGCGAACACAATATCTACAATAATGTGGAAGACGTGACATCGCACCGAGCGCAGCACTGTAGTTCCAACAAGATGATTAAACGAGGTCACTACATGGCCAGACAATCCGACCTGGCATGGAGCTCCTCGACTACATCCCCCCCGACGACAAACGACTCGACCCGCACTTCGCAGCAGCGGCAGCGCGAGCGCCAGATCGAGCGCAAGAAGGAAAGCGCTATCCAAGGGGTACGCTTACGCGGCGCTAGAAGTCGGACAGGTGATCGTCCCGACCAGCGCGCCGAGGATGGATGAAAACGCTCTACCAGCGCCACTGCGCACTGGAATGCCTAGCAGCAACCAACCGCGGATGGAACAAAGGGCGCCGCCGAGAAAACTTATGACACAATAATGAAGTTTTCGACCGGGACCGCGCAGAAACCGCACAGACGCCAACATTGACGCCATGGGCCGCCACAACAATGCAATGCCGACGCACGCACCGCACTACAGGAAGGCAGTGTGGGCCAGGCCCAGGGAAGACGCCTCGACCAACGACGCGGTCCAACGAAACACTCAC